TAAATCCAGGCTGTTTTCTTTGGGTAATGGATGATATTGTTAAATCAGTTACAATATTTATTTGAATAAATCTATACACAATTTTTGAGGCATTATCTTGCCATAGTAACAGTTATGTTTAAAGGCATTAGGGGTATGTGTACGTGTTATATATGCATTTTGGTATTGTAGTCATTGTGACAATATACGTTCATAATGTTGTAATAGAATAATGTTGCATAGCAATGTAATTGATATCCAGAAGCTGTTGGTCCTTGATAAATTTTAAAAGGAAAGATACGTTAAGGTCTTTGATTTATTTTTGATGTTTTGTATAATTTATAAGATTTTTGCTGTCTTTATTTGCGTTATGGGGCCTGTTGATGTCTAATTCCTGAATGTTAGCTTCTTTGGCTGAATTTAGATCATGTATGGGAAGCTGTATATACTTTCCTGCATTGAGATGTGTGGGTTATTGGTTGTCTGGCTCGTACTATCCCTAATCATGTTTGCTTTTCAGATTTCTCTTTGATGAAGCCTGCACTGAATTCAAGTACTATGAGTATCGTATTCAGGAAGAGGAGAAAGCACTAGCTATGAGCAAGGACTTACAGACTACACAAAGTGGTTGGTTTCCAACATTTTTTATTTTATTTATTTATTTATTTTTGGGATAATTAAGAGCATACTAGAATGTTTTTTTTGAGTGCATAAACTAAGTACTTTTTGGAATTGGGAAGCATAACATTACTATTTCTGATCAAGTAGGATAAGTTACTATTGTTTTTATCATTTTAGTTCTCATCTAGTCATCTGTATCAAATTTCCAATGATCTTTCTGTGCTGTTATGAACTTTAAGGCCTTTGCCTTAACTAGTGATATGTGAATGTGAGCTACACAGTTTGGCGAGGGCATAGGCTCGAGTACTCTGTTTCTGTTTGTGTTGCATAGATGTTTTCTTCAGCATATGATCTGATGTTACTCTGACTTTGGGACTTTCAATGCTTTCTTTGGGGCACTTGAGTATCTTTGTTTAGAAATAAGTTTGGTCAACAGAGTAAATTGAAGTATGATCTTGTAGCTTAGAAGCGGACTTGGATCGAGAAGTGCATACTGAATATAATTGTACTTCTGGCTATTTGGTGGGTTGGCCTGATGGAGGGATAGCCGGATAGGGTATGATATTTTTTGAGGGGAAGCTTAGTCATGCAAAGCAGCACTAAATTGAATATGATTTATTTTTTTAAACTTTTTTATTTAGTTTACCTGGAAAAAGATTTGGTATGATTTCATATTGAAGGCTTGTGGTTTTGCTGGGAAGAGGGTTCGTGATGTAGATTGTAGAATCCATTTTTCACATCCCTGGAGTGTCCTTTGATATTTACAATATTTAAATAAATAACCTCTTCAATTTCAGTGCAAGTTATAAGGTGGCATGTGCGTAGTATGCTTACTCATTGACTCTTGTGAAAGCTTTTAGTATGTCTACTTTTTTTGACACCTACCTGTTATCCTTTTTCCTCTTATTGTTTGAACTTACACCTTAAAGAACTCATAATTGAAGGAGATGAATTTGAGAAACTTTTGTTACATTGAAGAATTTTTTTTCCTTAGACATCATGATAGGTATGCTACATTTTATGTTGGCTATGTGTGATTGCCACTATTGTGTTGAATTTTGGACTTGGATATGAAATTAAAATGCTCCATGGGGGTCACTGAAGATTTATGTTACATTTTTATTTAAGCTTCCCTAGTAACATCCTGTTAAAAAATTAAAAATGTTTTTCTTTGGCACTAATGACCAAATCAATTCTCTGCTCACTACCTATGGAAGGCTTTATGCCATGTTGTTGCATTATTTGTAAATATGAGAAGATTTTGAATTCTCCATGGTGCTACTATTTACCCCATGAAAATTGCATCTACAGGTGATAAGATTGCTTCAGCTCCTCAAATGGAAAGTAATCCGCAGTTAAATTATCACACACCTGCTTCTGCTTTGTATGACGTAAATGAAGCCAGTTCTTTTGAGACTACATCTGCAAGAAGCGGTGAGAATTTGGTCCCTTATGTTTTTCTGTATGTTTACTATGTCTTTAATAGAAAGTTTGGATGATTATTGCAGTAAGTTGTCTCCAATGATTGTGGTTTTTATGGAGCTACATGATATACTAGCCTTTCTGTGATGCTTTTGCTGGAAATTGTCTTTCCAATATACCCTCCTTTTTGTGGTATTGAATTTTTAAATTATCATGCCTTTTTCTTGTGTTGTGGTTTGGTAGTACCCATTAATATTCTCGTCAAGTAATGTCTTTTAATGGATGTATTTATCAAACTTTGTATCCTTCCTTCCATCAATTACTGATTGTGTTGATTTTTCTTCCTTGTTTCTTGAAACATGCAATTAGTTAAGGTCCTAGGGTGTACAAGGGTTTGTATCTAGCAATGCCTATGGTTTGATTTTTTCTCGAAATTGACATTATTATGTGCCTTGTCTTCTGTTGTATCCTGATGTGTGAATTTTCATACATGGAATGAATTCAGTTTGCTTATGTCTATGAATATTCCGCTTCTTGATTGAGGATTATAGTATTTATAAGATTTCTATTATGCAGGGGAATCAAGCTCATCAGTTTCTGGATCAGATCCTATAGCGATGATGGAGTATTACATGAAGAAAGCAGCAGCTGAAGAGAAGAAAAAACCACCTAAACAATCACGAGATGAGATGCCTCCTCCAGCTTCCCTTCAAGTTCAAGGTAAATTTTTGGCTGTCTTGAAGAAATTAAGAATTTACAGTTTATTATATTTTTTTTATTTAAATATTTTTTAATGTATACTATGTATTTTATTATTTTTATATACTTTCTTTACTCCCTCCTAATGTCCACCTTTTTTCTTACACCCACTTACCTTGAGTAAATAGGAGTGAATATGATATTGATTTTTTAACCCAAAAAAAAAAAAATCTATATGGTTTTAGAGATTAGTTTGATTACTACCTTTTCTTTTCTAGAAATTATTATTATTATTGTTATTTTTATTTTTTATTTTTTTTAAAAAAAAAAAAAAAAAAAAAAAAAATTGAACTAGCCTCACTCTCAAGTCTCAACGATGATCATATTGGTCTTCCTTGACTTGCTTATGGTAGCTTCAATACGTGGGGGTGGCTGTTTTTAATCTTAAGTTTCACTTTGATAGTTGATGCTTGAAATCTCTCCCTCTCTCTTTCTAGCTCCAGCCTGGTTGGGGTGTGGAAACTTGCAAAATTTGCCCTTTTCTGTGATATGTTAGGCTTAAGCAATTTTGGGATGCATGTTCAGTTGATTTCTGTTGCTAATCTTTGAATTTTCCATGGCAGCTGCTGGAAAGAGAGGGCATCACATGGGAGACTACATACCACCAGAAGAGCTAGAGGGTTTTTTGGCTAAATGTAATGATGCAGCTGCACAAAAAGCAGCCAAGGAGGCTGCTGACAAGGCAAAAATTCAAGCTGATAATGTTGGGCATAAGCTTTTGTCAAAAATGGGATGGAAAGAAGGTGTGTTTCCTACTCTCTCACTTAAAATATGAAGTCCTGAGGATTATTTTGCTTGCAATTACATTTTACATACTAGTAATTTGATTAATGTATTGATTTGAAATGGAATGTCTCATACGGCCAAATTTAAGTGACTGGTTAGTGGTTATGGGCGAGTCAGTGTACATCTGGACCATACCAGAGCTTGCCTTACACTTGATTTCACTCTGAGTGGTATTTGTTGTGTAGACACAATTCATCTGTGCTGACCAGCTTAAAGCTTATATGGTCATAGTATATGCATGCTATACTTTCACTTATGCTGATCGTCTTTTTTCTGTGCATTTTATGGCTGAAGCATAACTAACATTCGTGCATGTTATTTAAAATTGGACTTTTTTTTAGTACTAGTAGAGTTTTCTTGGATGATAAATCTTGGGTAACGGAATTAAAGGGACCTTACATGTTAGGGAATGTTGAAGTATTGCATTTACAAACATGTGTCCCACTTTGTTAAGATGAGAGAGTTGAACTTTTTAAGACTCAGAGGTTACTCTTCTTATTGCCGTATGGTTTTGGGATAAAACCTCTTTGGATTTGTAAAGTGGACACTCTCCTAGTGAAGGGTACCGCCTATGCCCGTATTTAATAGAGACGAAACAAGATCCTACCCGACTATAATTTTCCTTAAAAGCTGTCTTGCTATTTTAGATACCTGATTTTTAGTTTTGGACTTGATTACCAACAGAAAACTATTATAATTTGGTAATTGGTTCTTACCTTGATTTTTATGTTGCAGGTGAGGGCCTGGGCAGTTCAAGGAAAGGCATTGCTGATCCTATTGCAGCAGGTAATGTAAAGAAAGACCATCTTGGTGTCGGTGCCCAGCAACCTGGTGAGGTGACTCCTGAAGATGATATATACGAGCAGTACAAGAAGCGCATGATGCTAGGATATCGTCACAGACCAAATCCCCTGGTATTGCCCTCTCTATGTTCTGGTGATACTTCATTTATTCATTGCCTTTAGAAAGTCTTTTATCATAGTATTACTGTGTCGAAGATTATATATGTTAATATTGTCGCTCATATTGTCTGTTTTCATCTTTGTAGAATAACCCGCGTAAAGCATATTACTGAGGAATCATAGCGACCAGCTGTTACAGGAGATTTACTTTGATTTGGGTTGATTTTAATTTTTTAGCTATTGACAAAAGGCTGTAAATTTCAGAGAGAACATGATAAATTTGCTGCAGTGCTTGTCATGTATACATTATACTAGGGTATAGTCTCGAGAGAAGTCTGCCCTAATTCCATTGTGTTTCCTCTTAGGGAAAAAAAAAAGTATTTTTATCCTTTGTTCTCTATAAAAATTTCTTTTACTAATACATTTGAAAGTGTTTGAATTTACTGGGACTGGCTTGAAGTGTTGACCCCATAAAGGTTTGATTGGAATACTTTGTTAGCAGGAACCAATTAGGGTTTTAGGGGTAATTTCTAATTAATATACCAAACCAGCTTTCAAACCTTTCATGAAGTTTGTGTTGATAAAACAATGATCATTCTCTCCTTATTATAGTCCTATCTTACTACTAAGGTCAGAACAAGCATTTTGTCGACTGGAGGTATGATTGCCAGTTTGCCACCGGCCTTCCGTTTAAAAAACTCTTGAATCTTTTTATTATCATCAACTTATCATAATCAACCCGTTTTTTGCCTCTGATAAACTACTTTAAATACCATCTTGCCCGTCAATTTCTGTCAAATGAATATCAGACCAATTTCTGATCAATAGTTATTTGTCAATGATTAAATCCCTAATCTTTTAGGATATATCAACCTCAGTGTTGTCGGCTTTTGAAATTAAAAGAAAAAATAAAACAAAATAAAAAATAAAAAACAGTTAAAACTAATGGACCCAAATTTTTACCCACCAGGAACAGTTGAGCTAGGACAAAATGTGATATGTTTAAGGTGGATAAATTGTGCATGAGCCATCTTGAAATACTAAGTATTATGGTAGAAATCTATACATTTTATATCCTATCTAAGCTCTTGAGCAATCAACTGTATCGTAAGTCATTAATATCACACATTTATACATAATTAATTTCTCGAAGCATAAATAACCAGTAAAAAAACCCAAGTATTTAGCAGGGTCACTCTGGCTTAACAACAAGATTATGATTAAGATTAACTCTACCTTCCAGAAAACAAAGTCATAGTAATTTCATTATGAGTGCTTGAATGAGGGGTGCTTGAAACAGAATATTGCGGCATAATCCTTTCAAAGTAAAAGCCAGGTTCTTTAGGTTCAGGCAATTTGCTATCTCCACTTAACATGGCTGTAACAAAAGACATGCTTGGCCTATCTTCTGGATGCTGTTGAACGCACAACAAGCCTAAATGTATCGCTCGTCGCATTTCATATTCGAATTTTGGGTTCCGGATTAATGGTTCCACAATGTCCAAAGTCTTGTTGTCTCTGAAAAGCATCCAAGTCTACAAAACATAGACAAAATCAAGTTAAGAGTGGTTCTGAACTTATAAAAAAATGTTTCATCAATCAGTTCATTTAAGTAAAAACCAGTTTATTTCAGTAAAAACCATTTAAGCAGTTTTTTTTTTTTGGCTGTAAAACCATAAATAAAGTTCAGTACTGATTTTGATTGAAATGAGTTAAATTTCATTGGGAAGAGCTTCAAAGACTTGTTATAATTTGGTTGTACTTGAATATGATAAACTTGATTTGATAATTGCCGGTGTAAAATAATATTTCAAAAAAAGTTGTACAAAGCCAACAGTCCTGTCTTGATCCTAAAAATGCAAATGGGAAAGAATGCACATTTTGTAGGACAAAAGCTTGAAAGACTGTACTCTATATTTCACTAGAAACGGTAAGAAAATAAGAAGCTAAAGGTTGACTGATCTTACATGTCCAACAAGATTGTGTTGGTGATCCGAATGATTAAAACCTCTATTTCTCTTGCCAGAAAGAATCTCCAGTACCAAAACTCCAAAGCTGTAGACATCAGATTTCACTGAAAATACCCCATCAATAACGTATTCAGGAGGCATATAACCGCTGTCACAAGCAAATGGAAATATTAACAAATGATCAAGAAACCACTACTAGCTTAAAGTGAAATAGCGTAAAGTGAGTTAAGAGTATTACTATGTTCCGACTACACTCGTGGTCATTGCTTCACAATCATTTCCATCAAAACTTCTAGCAAGGCCAAAATCTGAAATTTTGGGGTTCATCTCAAAATCAAGTAATACATTGCTTGCCTTAAGATCTCGATGAACAATTCTCAATCTAGAGTCTTCGTGAAGATAAAGTAGACCACGAGCAATCCCCTTGATTATCTCAAAACGCTTTGTCCAATCCAATATGGATTTGCTCGTTTCACCTGCAAATAGACCACCACTTTAAGCATTTCTATACATTGTCCATTGCCAATGATGGCAGCAGTAAACTAAAATGATTTCAAACATGCCTAGGTTTCTTTACAATATATGTCAATGCTTTAATCTAAAGCCTTCAGTTCCAGGAAAAAACACTGCCAGTTTTTAGTGTACAAACTAAAACATTCAACATGTAGTAGATGAAAACTTGTAATGAATTAACAAAATAAGCATTGATGTGAAGTCTAGAGAGATCCAAACCAAATATGAAGCGGTCCAAGCTTTTATTGGGCATGTATTCATAGATTAAAATCCTTTCTTCTGCTTCAACACAGCATCCGATAAGTCTCACAAGATTGCGATGCTGAAGCCTAGCAATAAATAAGGCCTCATTCTTAAATTCATTCAATCCTTGTTTTGATTTTCTTGAAAGCCTTTTCACTGCTATTTCTTCTCCAGTACCCAACAATCCCTGGGAAGTACAAGACGAGGCAATCAAAATCTGTACACCAAATTAAATGTAAAACCTGTCTAATTCACACAATCTCAAGAAAACAAAATAATTATAGAAGATTTGTATTCCAGTCAAAAAGGATGTTTGCCAAACAGATATTGATCATCCATTTTCCTCTTCATGTTAGTATTGGTGTCTGACATTACCTTTTGCTGTACACTTGTACATGTACCTGCACCTTCTTAAACAATTATAGAGCGAAGTAAATAACCGAACTTGATACCTTGTAGACAGGTCCAAAGCCGCCTTCTCCAAGCTTGCTTTTTTGTGAGAAGGAATTGGTAGCTTGCTCTACGACACTGAAGGCAAATATTGGCAGCTCAGACTTCTCTTTGTCTTTGTTGTTGTTGTTGCTGTCTTTTTTAACTTTTCTTGTTTTAAAGAATCCTGTGGCCAAAAAATAAGAAATTAATAAAACTATAAAAAGGAAAAAATAATCAAGGGTTTAAGCCTTCAAGGTGGAAAGTATTATATTTTTTATATTCTACATTGGCATCTACTTATTTGTAGAGAATATGTCAGAACTTCCTTGTTATGCAACAAAGAATTAATTGTCAGTTCAAAATCACAGTATTGGATGAACTTTCTAAAATCGGTTGTGGTTTATATACGATAAAACAGCAAAAATTTCACACTGACTTCGTTTCCTCTCTTTCATCCTTTTCTTCCGTAGAACAAAGATCATTGTGCCACATATAAGTAGGACAGCCAACAAACTGGAGCCTATTGCTATCCAAATTACTTTTTTCCGATCACCTACAAAAAGAACAACACAGTCACTTAAAAATTCTAAAATTTACAAGAGATTAACTATTGAAATTCTCAAAATGATACCAAATGTAATGTTTGCAAAAAACATATACGGTATCAGGAACACAGGCAAAATTCTTATCAGAAACAAAATACATATAATCCGTACTATTTAATTTCAACTGAAAAAGAAAGAAAACAGGTTTAAGAAACAGAACTAGTAACAGGTTCTTACCAGAGTCAGAGGCCGCCCTTAAGTAAAGATCTTGTCCAGGGCCATTGAGATCTTTTACATCCATTAAAGCACCAAACCAAAGCAAGCAGCCGCTTTCTTTATCTTTGAGGTTTAAAGATGCATAAGCTGTACAGGAGCAGTTCTGCAAGCATTTAAACTTGCATTCCTTCAGTGTCATTGTTGTATTATACCAAGCAGATCTTGTATCAGGCAGTTTGACATCAGAATACTTTATAAACCCATTGTTAATGCTGCAGTTTAATGGGCCACTGCGAACACATCCATCCCTAAACTGCTCCCTATCATACCAATCAATGTGGGACTTTGGCACAAACCCTTTCAGACAGTGACATTGAACAGAAGTTACAAGACTACATATACCAAATTCGCCACAGACTGCATAATGGTCACACTTATCATTTGGTTTTGTATGATATGTTTCCCAAGTATTAGTAACATTATTCCAATTAAGACGCAAAATGTTGCCATTTATATCCAAAGTCCTCCTAGTAGGGACGTCACCCGTTTCATAGGTAAAGTACATCTCTTTGTCATTCAAGAAGAACTCAGCCCTGGTGTCATCTGGTAACAAAGGGGTCCCAGAGAACCAGTAACCATTCCACGGACCATCTCGGAACAGCTCAATAGAAGAATCTTTAAAAACAAATGGCTGTGGGTATCCATGGGGATCCATTTGATATGTATAGCTCCCTGGAGAAGGATCCACACTACTTTTCCATGCTGTTAGAAACCGATCAAACCCGGTAACAACATCCCTTCCCAACTTCATTCCAGGCAGCATAGTATCACAAGGATAGTCAAAACTTTGCCATAAAAAATTATCAGGGCTGTCATCATTTCGATCTCTTACAACAAAATTTCCATCATCTAAAATCTGTGCAATTGGATTCCTTACTGATCTTGTTGTATTAGTAGACCATAAGACTCCTCCTCCTGAACCATTGGAAAGTATGAGAACAGAGTTGTTGGTGAGCTGCAGAACACCAGAAGAATTCGATATAGGAGCTTTTCGATTGGCAATCCAAACAACATTCGAAATTGGAATTTTCTTAAACCAAATTCCGAGATATCTCCTTCCATTAGTACCTGAAATAAATCCCAGCTCGAAATTTCCACCAGCAGACACTAATGTTTCAGAGATATTTCCATCTCGAATGGATTGACCAAGAGTAATTGTATCTACAGCAACACAAGTAATGATCAAAGACCCAAGAAACCAGATAAGAACTATACCATGTTTAGTGATCATCTCCCTTTAAATTTAAGTGTGAAACAATGTAAAGCTAATACAGCCTTATAGAACAATTAATTACATGCCTTAATTGATCCACTTAGTTATTCAACCCTTTGAAACTTTGACTGAATACGTTTATTATCAAGCTCATACATATTAAATTCACAAATTTAATCTTTGATAAGCCCTGAAATAAAAAAAAAAAATTTCTACAAACTTAAGCGCTTGAATGTTCATCACAACAGACACACAAGATATAAAAGTCAACCGTTTCTTCTGTTACATAATATTTTTAAGCATAGCCATTGGTTGATCATTGACCCAAAACTATCATATAAGTAGGACCCAAATATGTTTTAAATTATGCCGTTCTTTATGCTTTGATGGACCAATAATAAATAAATAAATAAATAAATAAAAATCACCTGTCTACATTATCAAGCATAAGCAGCTCATGTGAAGTCCAAACAGCACAACCTGGTCATCTCTATAGGAGAGTGTAAATCTGGGCATCGAGATTTTATTTTCTTAATTTATTTCATTTTCAAATTCCTTTTCTCACTTCACACCTTCACTCTGGTCATCTAATAATCAAGCTAGACAAAGTCTTACGAAGTACATTCATTAATGTCATTATCTTTCAATGAAAAAGACAATGTAATAAGAAAAATAGCCTCAAAACGTAGACTGAATGATAAGACAATGTACTCCGTAATATGTATGCTCAAAAGTAGGAAGAACTTAAAAGAGCGGATGAAAACAGTAAGTTGAAAGAATAATATGAAACTGAGGGAGAATTTTTTAATTCCAAATTTGAAAGTATTGTAGATGAGTAGTTGCTTGAACATCATGCAAAATCTTTAACTGTAATACCTCTAGGGAAAAAACTAGATTTGGAATCCAAAATCTGAATTAGGACAATTATATTATAACTTTTGAAATGAAACATAAGGATAAAGGAATGATTAGTATATTCAAAGTAGATTAAGGGGTGTGTCACTGTGTCCTTTAGACTTGATTAAGTCCATAGTATGTTTACACTTGATTGGACCTGATCAACCTTGATTAAACCTAATATATTAATTCGTCCATTTTAGGGTTAGTTATGTATAATTGTTATGAATATGAGAATAGTAAAAGAAGAACAATAACAAAGAACAACAAAAATTTTTGTGGTTCACCATGTAGGAAAGAAAAATGTTTGATAGTAGGAACTAGGCATACATATTACATAATATAGGTGGTAGTTAAAACAACATGCCCGTTACGATTAAGCCGTTACAAATAGACTTTTTTCCACTAGTGAGTGTGAAGAATATGACACGAGTATTGGTAATGAAGTATTCAAGTAAGGTATGCTGTAATCAATTTTTCACCAAGTATAACAAAATAAGAATTTAAACTAAGGAGATTATATGGAGGATGTGATGGTGTAACGCTAACATTCCACAAAAATTTGGAGATAGCCTTTTGCCTAAGCAACACTTTCAGTGGACATGAAATGACCTTTGGTGTGTGTCTGTGTGTTTGGGGGCTTGCATTTTGAGATAAGGAAAAATGAGTCTTACATGTCCAAGTAGGTTGTGATGGTGGTCTGATGAATCCTCTGCTTTTCTTGCCAAATTCAATCTCAAGTATTGTTATTCAAAAGCTGAAGACATCATATTTCACCGAAAGTAACCCATCAATTGTATGCGCAGGATGCATGTAGCCGCTGTACCAAAACAATAAAGCATTAGCATATGGACTTAGAATGAAAGGAAAAATGCAAAAATGCAAAAATGCAGAAAGAATATTACTATGTCCAAATCATCCTCTTTGTTTATGCCTCATCTTCGCTTCCAATAAAAAAAATCTGTCCATGGTGCAAAAATTTGATGTTCTATGATTCTTAGGATTTCGTAATCATTCTGATTTCTGACAGCAAGGATTACACATTCCTTAAGCTGTGAAAACTGATCTAACTGTATTAATAGACCACAAGACTGGTCCTATACTGTTTAAAAGCATGAGAGCAGAGTCGGTGGTGATCTGAAGAACACCGGAAGAATTGAGAAGCTAGTATAGCATCACGATTGCTTGGGTGGAATAGAATTCCAATAGATTTTCTTATACTGTACTGCTTCCTAGGAAACATTCAGGTGCAATATCTCCACAATTTGACACCAAGATTCTTAAACATTAATGATCAATTGAATGAGCATAACAATACAAACACAAATCAACAAAAACTGAGCAAGTAACACTTATCAAAGATATACAACCAAACATTTATTTAATGAATACTTAAAAATTGTAGCATGTTTACTACAAATTTCCACACATAACTAATAAGTAGATATAAAATTTATAGTCGATTATATCTTATGAAATCATAAAATATGGGTATAACTATCTAACCTCTTGAAAGAAGTTTTGCCTTCAAATCTTAAAATTAGAAAAGGGTATTGCAGATGTACAGGTGCCCATAACAACAAAGCTTTGCACTTAAAAAACCCGAAAAATTACACCCCATATGTAAGTTGCATTCATCTGTCCTCGTTGGGCAGTAAATAGGAAAAAAGATTGAATAGTTTGTACATAAAAGGTAATACGATGCAATAGAGGACTTTTGATTGGCACGCTCTTATTGATCCACTAAAGTAAACTCGGGGGTGAACTCGAAGAAATCAAACTCGAGTTTAAACATAGAAGGATTATGTACCAAATCCAGCTAAGTTTAAACAGAAATGTGCATTGGATTGCTTTTGAGGTAATATGAATAATCGTGTAAGCTCTTCTAGATTTGATATTTAATTTCAACAAATGGAAAAGTCATACCAACTTATGACTTTAGTTATTGCTCATCATTTAACTTAAAACCATTTTGAAAAATCCTTTTATCGAACATTGGTAAACAACAGTTTCTACTACTTTTATGTAAGAATATCAACACCCCTTGCTACGTATTCACAACTTGAAATTTCAATTGGATGACTTATACAATGGTTTCTATGGACATTGTTCTACCAGCCTGTTTAGTAAGTCATAAGTTGCATTAAAAGAGTGAGACCCCATCAATTAAGCTTATATGCCAAGTTTGCCCTATCATGTCAAATTACAAACGCTGACACGCTGTTCACATTTAAATAGACAAAAATATCTTTATGCATACCCTTATGCCCCCCCCCCAGCCCATTTTCTAACAAAGGAGGGACCTTTCACCGGGGCCTTTCGGGGGCCTGACCCCGTAAATGATTGTAATTAATTATTTAATGAACTTAAATAACCTATATTTTCTTATAAAATATTTGGGTATAGTTATTAGTTTTGAGCAAGAGATAAAATATTTAAATCCCGGCCCTACAATATTTGCAGCCAAGATCCACCATTACAAAGTCAATCAAATTTATCAACTTGATTTTCCTCTTAAATATTGGTAATGGAAATTACACATTTTAAAAAGTGGTATAATACATAAATTTGAATATTCAAGGGTTCATTCTCATGGTAATGATATTAGACCATCCATTAAGCACATTATGATGTTAATTTGCCAAATTACACTATTTATAACCGACTACCAAACAGGCTGTAAATCCAAGCATTATGTTAAATTGAAGTATTAATTAATGTGAAAAACAAAACCAGGCTGTGGGAGCAATTCAGCTTACTACCAAATTTGGCTTTTCTTTCCCTCTTCCTCTCTTCGATCCAGAAAATTATGCTGAAAATAGTGTCCAAATCAACAATTGTGAACAAAAATGAAATTCAACTAAAATCCAAGTAAAATAAACATTTAATCACAAAATTCAATTTGACAAGATAATTCAAACAAAAGCAAATAAGCATAGAATCAATCAATAATATATCAAAAAAAAAAAAAAAATTATGAAATGAATTTTGTTGCCGTAATCACATCATTTTAGTCTTTAATAATTCTCCAAAATGAGGGAATAAATTAATAGTGCAGAAGTAATTTACCAGTTGTTTAGAATTAGCGGACCTTTTGATGCGAGTAGTATTTTGCCACAACGGTGAATTGTAAATGGAAAATTTGCAAATTGCTCTCATTTAAAGTTCGTATTTTACAAATTGCAGCCATTTAAATTTTTTTTTGCAAATTATAGCCCAAAAGTTCGTATAAATTGTTGATTGCAGCCCGATTTAATTTTTTCATCGGTTTACATGTTGAAAAATCTTCGATTAAGGTTTTAGGGGTCATTTTAGCCACAGACTGCATAATGGTCACACTTATCATTTGGTTTTGTATGATATGTTTCCCAAGTATTAGTAACATTATTCCAATTAAGACGCAAAATGTTGCCATTTATATCCAAAGTCCTCCTAGTAGGGACATCACCCGTTTCATAGGTAAAGTACATCTCTTTGTCATTCAAGAAGAACTCAGCCCTGGTGTCATGTGGTAACAACGGGGTCCAAGAGAACCAGTAACTATTCCACGGACCATCTCGGAACAGTTCAATAGAAGAGTCTTTAAAAACAAATGGCTGTGGGTATCCATGAGGATCCATTTGATATGTATAGCTACCCGGAGAAGGATCCACACTACTTTTCCATGCTGTCAGAAACCGATCAAACCCGGTAACAACATCCCTTCCCAACTTCATTCCAGGCAGCATAGTATCACAAGGATAGTCAAAACTTTGCCATAAAAATTATCAGGGTTGTCATCATTTTTATCTCTTACAACAAAGTTTCCATCATCCAAAATTTGTGCAATTGGATTCTTTACTGACCTTGTTGTATTGGTAGACCACAAGACTCCTCCTCCTGAACCATTGGAAAGTGTAAGAACAGAGTTGTTGGTTTATACAAAACTTATCATTAATCAGTTGAAATAAAGAAATTACAATAAGCCACAACTAGTACTACTTAAATACAACGGTATAATAATGCTTTTATACAAAGCTTCAGCATTTTGCCTTTAATTAATGTGATAGGCGAAAAACATTTCAATGCTATAATATTTATGATTAATGAACTACAAGCCTTAACTCTTTCTCTCTTTCAGAAAGAGTTAAATTAGATTACTAAATTACTAAAAATAAATTTAATCCAGTATTTCTACCTCCAATTTACTTTAAAGTTTGATCCTCCAATTTAGTTTAAATACAACCTCCAATCTACTTTAAATACAACCTCCAATAGTAGATTAGTTTTAGTCTAAAAAACAGAAACTTAAAACAGCCTCTTTTTTTTTTTCCTTTCAGCGAGTCCTCCCACCTTCCAACTTCTTAGTCTCAGTCTCTATCAAGTCTTCCTAGATCGTCCCTACCCCTAGTAGGAGGGGGTAGTGGCTGCCACAGCTTACAGATTGCTCAGTTGGAATCCTGTTGGAAAGAAAAAAGACATTAAAATTGGAGTAAATATAAAATGTGGGTACTCAACTTTGCTTTGTTGCAAGTTGGGTACTGAACTTGGGTACCGCCGGAGAGATAACCAGGAAGTTACAGGAATGTCATAGCTAAATAAAGTAGCCGTTACACATTGAAGTTGCAGTCCATTAATAAAACAATTTGAACTTGGGAATATTGGCAGCATATTTTGTTTTTTCACCCAAAAAATTAGATCAGGTTCTTCAAAAAAGCAAGTCCACTTCAGTAAATCTGCAAACAGGTAACAAAATTTTTGGTTGTACTGCTGACATAGGGAACAAGATGTTAACTTAATTAAATAAGCTAACTGCAGATAAATTCCATTTGAATTTCTCGACACTTTAAGAGAGCTCAAGGTGTGAAAATTCATGGCATAGCTAAAGAAGATCGAAGCCAATTTGTGAATTTCTTTGTAAATAGTCTACTCACCCCCCCCCCCCCCCCCAAAAAAAAAAAAAAAAAAAAAAATTGTTATCATCTCTAGATTGCAGCATTTTTTTGTGATTGTAAAGTTTATCCCTCCAATCTTAATCTACATGTATCCATATATCTTAGACCTTCTGATCTTGTTATTTTAGTTTTCCAGATTGGTGATAGTTTTGATTCTTCATTCAATTAATGACGACCTCTGTTTCTTCTCTTTACTCTAGGTTTTTTTTTTAAAGTAATGTAAGTGATGAATTACAATTGATGAAGTAGCTTTCCTTATTCGTATAGCTAGCTCTGTTTGGGAAGAAGTGAAGCCTCGGGTGTTCTTCAGATATTTCTTTTTTTTTTTTCAATTTAACTTGTTATTTACCTCTTGTAGCAAGTAAAATTACCGGAAAAGTAAACCCAGGCTGGTTACAGTACCCAACTTGCAACAAAGCAAAGTTGAGTACCCACTTTGCAACAATGGCCAAAGTTCAATACCCACTTTTTTATACTTACTCTTAAAATTGTAGCCGCCACCATAATAAGATTAAAACCCTTGAAAACTGAATTTCTATTTTTATTTCAGATGTCACACTTTAAAAAAAAAAATTAACTATTTGACATAAATTACTGCCCTCCGTTTCAGGTTAGTTGCAATTTTAAAACAAAATTTCATAATGGTTCGATTAATGAATTAAAGAATGGGTAATTAAGCAAGGTAGGAGAGAGAAACTGTATGTGATTAATAAATTACCCACCACCATCAACATCACCCACCCCACCACCGTCGGCCAGCAGTAGCCATCCCATCACCGACGGTCGGCAACAGGCATCCCACCACCGTCTTCCAGCAACAGCCATTTCACCATCGTCGTCCAGCAGCAACCACCACACTACTGTCGGCCAACAACAACCACCCCGAAACACCCACCTCACACCCCGAAACCACCCTTTTTCAACCCAAACCACTCTAAAACAGGGGCGGACCCAATTAAGTGACATGGGGGGACAGCGGTCCCCCCAATTTAAAAAAAAATTAAAAAAAAAAAAAAAAGCAAAACAAATCGCACAGCGCTGCTCCATTTCAATCTTCACTCCAATTCGCCATTACCACTACTCCACTAGTCCACTGCGTCGCTGCTCCACCATTCCACCAACCGGCGACCGTCGAGGCTTCGTGCGTGCGTGGTGCGTCGCTGCTCCTGTGCGGATGTGCTCCATCTTCAGTCTTCGCTGCAGGTGCGTGCGTGAGTGCGTCAGGCGTCACTGGCTCGCTGCTCCACCGACCACCGCCTGTCCGCCTTGGCCCCTGGGTTCCTCACCACTCGCTGAGTCGCTGCTAAACTTATGGTATGTCTTGCTAAGTTGCTAACCCTAATTCGAATTTCGAAATTCCCAATTTGTTAATTTGAAATCCCCAATTCACCAATTGTTAACCCTAATTTCCAGATTTTTGTTGAATTATTTTAATTTTAATTGCAATATTTGTTGAATTTTAATTTTAATTGCAATTTTAATGTTAGGTTTTATAGTATGCATTTATGCAATGATGTGAATTGTGGAAATTCCGAAATTGAATAATTGATATATAATTTTTAATGTAATTAGGAAATGTCAAATGATTCACCTAATTCAAACAAATCCAAGGCTACTAGAAAACAACCCGATCTTCGACAATTCTTGTCTAAAAGAAAGAAACTCCATGAAAATGAGTCAAATAACTCCCCTTCATTAAGCCCCCCTCAAAGTCAAGAAGATGATATGGAAATGGGTGGTTCAAGTACTTGTAATGTACCATTGGAGGAAAATTTGGTATACGATGTTGAACTTCTTCCTCATGATCCGGGAAAAAGAATAAACATAATGGATTACCCCGCAAATGAACGAAATGCAGTTAGGAGGGGTTATATTCTTAAAAAACCTTGCCAACCAAAAACTCATGACTTTCCTCAAAGACAAGTGTCTGGTTTACGTCGCTTTAGTGTTCATTGGTTCAAGAAATGGGATTGGCTTGAGTATAGTATTGAAAAAGATGCTGCATTTTGTTTTGTATGTTACTTGTTCAAGAATGAAGTTGATAGTTATTCGGGGGGTGATGCATTTGTTGATGGAGGGTTTAGGGCATGGAATAAACCGGAAAGATTTGAGAAGCATGTTGGTGGAATTAACAGTGCTCATAATCTTGCTTATGAGAAATATGTGAATTTAAGAGATGGAAAAAAAAAATCAATCTTGAATGTGTTTGACAATGCAAGTGAGGTGATTAAAAGTGAATATTTTATCCGCTTGAATGCATCTTTAACTTGTTTAAGGTTTCTTTTGGGGCAAGGTTTGACATTTCGTGGACATGATGAAAGCGGGGAGTCATATAATAGGGGTAATTTCCTTGAGCTGTTGAAATGGTTAGGAGAAAAGGTTGAGGAAGTAAGACAACATACTCTTGAAAAAACACCTAAAAATTGTCAAATGATTTCCCCTTCTATTCAAAAGGACATTATTAATTGTTGTGCCAAAGAAACAACTAGGTGCATAATAGAAGAAGTTGGTGATGATTACTTTGCCATATTAGCCGATGAGTCAAGTGATGTGTCCCAAAAAGAACAACTAGCTCTTGTTTTGCGCTTTGTTAATAGAGATAGTGGAAAGGTAATGGAGCGATTTTTAGGCATTGTTCATGTTGGTAATACTACCGCTTTAACTCTTAAAGATGCAATCATGTCTTTACTTGTTGAACATTCATTGAGTCCATCTATGATAAGGGGGCAAGGGTACGATGGAGCTAGCAACATGAAAGGTGAAATAAATGGTCTTAAGACTTTGATTATGAATGATACTCCAAGTGCCTACTACGTACATTGTTTTGCTCATCAACTTCAACTAACACTAGTTGCCGTTGCTAAAAAGAATGATAGTTGTGGTTGGCTTTTTGAGATACTTGCAAATTTATTGAATGTGGTTGGAGTTTCTTGCAAGAGAAGAGAAATGATTCGACAAGATCAAGCTCAAGAAGTTGCTCGAGCATTGGATGTAGGGGATTTTGTGAGTGGATCGGGTTTAAATCAAGAACTTGGTTTGAAAAGGCCCGGGGATACTCGTTGGAGTTCTTATTACAAGTCTATTTCAAACATCATCCTCGTATTTCCTACAATTGTTAAGGTACTTGTACACATTGGGAAGCATGGTGTATCGGAAGATAAGTTCAAAGCTCAAATTGTTTTAGGACAATTAGAGTCATTTGACTTTGTTTTTATTGCTCACTTGATGTTGACTATTTTTGGTTACACTAATGATTTGTGTGTTGCTTTGCAAAGAAAGGAGCAAGATATTGTAAATGCCATGGAACTTGTCACTTACACAAAATTGGTGTTGCAAAAAATGAGGGAGCAAGGATGGGATACTCTCTTAAACAAGGTAACTTCATTTTGTGTTAAACATGGTATTGTTGTTCCCACTATGGATTCTCCTTATGTTCCTCAAGGAAGATCAAGACGTTTTGTTGAAGAAGCAACAAATGAACATCATTTTCGGGTTGGAATTTTTGTAAGAGTGATTGATTTGCATCTTCAAGAACTTGATGATCGATTTAATGAGAGGAATATGGAGATACTAATATGTATGGCTTGTTTAAGTCCTAAAGATAACTTCTCATACTTTGATAAAGATAAGGTAGTTAAACTTGCCTCTTTTTATCCCGAAGAATTTTCAAGCTTTGATTTGATGGCTCTTGAATGTCAACTTGATATATTCATGGAGAATATGCTAAATGATGATAGATTTCAAGGTTTAAATGACCTTAACTCTCTTTCTATGATGCTTGTTAAAACTAATAAGCATAAGACTTTTCCTCTTATTCATTTGCTTATCAAGTTGATGTTGATTCTTCCGGTTTCCACGGCAAGTGTTGAAAGAGTCTTTTCCGCAATGACATGTGTCAAAAATAAGTTGCGAAATAGCATGGGTGATCAACTTATGAATGATTGTTTGGTCACTTTTATTGAGAATGATGTCTTCCTAAGAATTTCCGATGAAAAAATTGTTGATCGCTTCCAAAATATGAAGACTCGAAGGATGAAAGTGTAATTTTAATGTAATGTTTATGTAATTTTTTTCATCATTTGAATTGTATGACTAAGTATGTTTTTTATTTTGAAATTTTAATATTAAGTATTAACTAATTTGTGTGTTTGAGTTTTTTTTTGTTTTTATTTTTTGTTAAGCTATTTGTAAGTTAAGCATTTTGTCCCCCCCAATTGAAAATCCTGGATCCGCCACTGCTCTAAAACCACCCTTTTTCAACTCGAACCGCCCTGAAACCACCCAATCTCAACCCAAACCACCGTAAAATCACTCCCTCTCCACTTGAACAACCCCGAAATCACCCCTTCTTAGGTTAAACAACCCCGAAACCACTACCATTTAGCTCGAACCATTTTGTAACTACCCTTTCTCAACTCAAACCAACTCGAAACCACCCTAGAACAACCACTATTCTTTTCACCCAAATATGCATGACCTACGCTCTCAGATCTCCAAGGAGCATTTTGTTTCCAGTATGATACTCTAACATCTGCCGTGATGGTCTTTTGAGACATATCTCTGTTTCTGTGGGTTGGATGTAGAAAATACATGGGACGGGTAGTCCAATTTTGGACGTGATAGTGCTTTCTGATTGTTCCCAGAGTATAAGCTTGAAAATTAAGGAGAAAATACCACCATTACACAATATAATTGAAATATAGTTTCTGATTCAAGCTACATTTATATCTCCACGTGAGTTGCACGTGTCAGATCATCTCCTATCAGTCTGGCTGAACACAGTTTAATTTGGTCCAGACCGTACCAAATCGCCTTTTAGCGATTTGGTTTGGTTTACAGTTTGAAAAAGCGCAATTTGGTCTATAAATTTCTCAAACAACAAAATTGGGGTTCGGTTTGGTTACAAAAAATTTCAAACCAAATAAAACCGCAAACCGCATATATTTAATTTATTAAAAATAATTATTATATTAACTATTATATTTTATAATAGATAAATTTAAAGTCATATATTTGTTTGGATATGTTGTGAATTTTTTAATAGACTCATTAAAGTTGTGTGTTTGGATATTAAACTAGTATTGTCCGTACCCGATTTTTATTAAAAACGAATTAAATGGTCATTAAAAAAAATATCATAGTGAAACCGCAAACCGGACCAAACCAAACCGCAAAATTGCGATGCAGTTTGGTGCGGTCCGGAGAAAATTACGGTTCGGTTTGGTTTGCGAAATTGCCAAACCGCAATTTTGCGGTTTGGTCCGATTTGGAGTCCAAACCACATTAAATCGGACCGTGAACACTCCTACCTATCAGTGTCTTCAAAAGGAGCTTGGCTTTGTTTCATGGCCTTGTCCTTCATTTTTTTTTGTCCTTCATGATTTGTCTATTGATGATGGGCTTTAGCTAACATTGGTTTTGTTAGAGGAAGAGGTCATAGTGCAGTGGCACTACCTGTGGCTTTCGGGGCCTAGACCCAGGGTCAAGCCTCACCCCTAACATTATGTTGGGATTATCCCCTATCCATAACTGATCTTGTGCATTGTAATCGTGTACCTTCCTATTAAAAAAACACTGGTTTTGTTGACTTGCCAACCACGTTCTCTAAAAGTCCACGAATTCTAAATTTCATGTATTAAATATGACAATTAGAAAAGTAATTTTCAATTCTATGTCATTAGTCAAGGCATTATTCCTATCAGGATCCGACAAACCAACTCCGAGATCCAAATCCCGAGCCTGAACCTCGTTAAGCTCCTATCGTCCAAATGAGAACCTACACAAAGAACAGAGATTAGCTAACTCGCCCGGGGTGGATCCGGGGATAACCACTCCGATGATAAAGTTAGAAAGTGTTTATGAAGGTAAGAGGATAAGAAGAGAGAGAGAGAGAGTAATAAATGCTACCTTGATTATGGAATAAAACCTGATTATTTATAGCCCTTCCAAATGACAGGTGGCTGCATGGCATGCAATCTATCTCGCGCCAAGTGTCAAATTGTTGTTGCCACGTGCTGATCGCTGTCAAGCCGATATGTCTACCTGTAATACCCGAGATTTTAAAACCTAATTTATTATACGCTAATATTTATTTTATTAGCTAAATTAAAGTTTTGTCTCTGTTTTAACAAGAACGAATGTTTTAATCTTGAATTTTATTTTAATATTATATTATTTCAGAAGCTAATTTTAAGGAAAGTAAATTATTATTTTACAGCTTATTTCCGGTCAGTAAAATGTTTAAAGATTTGTATCAAAATATGTATTTTTACCCGAAAAAAATGACCAAAATGCCCTTACTTATCATAAGAGACAAAATCCACCTCCTAACTTCATCCCTTTTTCACCACTAAGAAAAGAATTGATAATTTCATTTCTCACTGTTTCCTTTACCATTAGTTGCCTAATTCTTGTGATAATCTTATCACTTAATAAACTTTTATAATCTTTTCTTGTAAGCTATTGATCCTTCACCGTTAAGAAACAAAAGAGCAAAGGATAAACTTTGCTTCATTCAACTAGAAAACAAAACCCACCTCTTGCTTCTCTATTCCCCTCACGGTTAAGAGCTTTATAATACAAAGTCTAATTTTGCCTTTCCATATAATTGGTCACTCAAAACCCCATGATTATCAATTTAGCAAATCTTGATCTTATCTTCTTCTTTCTTCCAAGTTCATTCTAGCAACCATATTACTCTATATATATATAAAACGTCACCACCGTTCACTAGTGTCATTAACTCATTATATACTTTCTTTTCTCCTTTCGTAAACTTTCTTGTCAAACTAATGAAAATGGCCTTCTAAGACCCATTACCTTATTGCTTCGTATACTACTAATTAGCCCAAGGTATAAGTAGTATTGTTTCAATGTTCATATTTATTCTTTAAAGAGAAATCTTGTTATCTAGTATTGTTTTTCTTGTAATACAAAAATAATTCTTATACTTAAATTAATGATTTAGTGGAAAAACTATGACTTCTTTGAGTCATAAAGCTACGTATGGTATTACTTGTATTTAGAAATAAGTTTGTTGATTTTATACTAAAATAATTAAAGAGTATATTTTTAATCATTTTTCCTACTAATTCAATAATTTATATTTTCAAGAAGAATCGGACCTCGGAGCTTAGTGAGAACGATAGAATAAAGGCTAACAGGAAGGTTATCATACTGTAAATCGAGGTAACGGCTATTGCTAGTACCCGCAATTCCCTTCAAAATGTGTTTATAAAAGCATGATGTCAATTTTGAAAGTTAATTATATCTCTGGATTTATTGACTTGCGGGATGATGATTGTGTTTATTAATGTACTCCAGTCTAATGATTTATATGAATGATTTTATTGATAAACGTTGTTTTATTGATCTTTGGATCTTACGAAAGTATGTTATGAATCTATGAATGACTTATGTAAAAGTTACACAACATGATAAATAACAGTGAAAAACCTAGTCCGTCTGGCAGTATATGTTTACAGGTTACTTTTCGGTCATGCATGTACCCATGGGGCATTAGCCCAACTATGTTGAGCATCTGCTCTATGTTATGGGCACCGGCCCATCGCGGAAGACGGTCCGCCATGTCATACTTGCCAGCGACTAGCATGTTAATATGAACGTTATATATATATCATTATATGAATTTTATTAAATGTTTTAAGATACTCTATTCTCCCTGTTTTGTTAACTAACATGAATTGAAATGATGTTACACTACTAGAGTAGTTCGTTACTGAGTCTTCGGCTCACCCGTTTTTATGTTTTTATGTTTTAGGTACTGCTAGGGATGATGGAGACGAGTAGTAGCGAGGATTTTACTTTCAGTTATCACTTAATAGTAGTTATAGTTTTAATTTGTTTAATTTGAATAGTAAGACTAAGCTACTTAGTAAAGTTTGAGATAAGATAGGATTTTCTATTATAAAAATTAAGAATAATGTTTGTTATAAATAGATTACTATGTTTTATAAATCAAGTTTGTTAATTAAGTATGTTTGTTGCCTTGTAAATCTCGTGAGGGATTTACGGCAGTGACGTCCCGACCGTGTAAGGTTAATTCCGCTGCTAAGATTATCTTAATAATTGAATTAGAGGTCGGGGTGTTACACTACCTTTTGTGTAAATGCCGATATGTCTAGTAGTTGCTGAGGATCCGTATCCGGTTAAGATATCGGCCTTCATATGTAATCAACCCGTTTTCCATATCTCCCCATATAACTAGCCCCCCAAGTGAGGACGTTGAATCGCAAATCGACGTTCTCACTTTATGTGCCAAGATTTTAAATGTTATTGTTGTTTCTTGCACTTTGTCGGGCTCTTTTTCGTTCTTTTCTGATGAGTTGTGAAATTTAGGATGAATTCTTGTAAAATTCTGTGAACATATTATTTGCAAATGTGTTGGTTGTATGAGTGGGAGCGGAAAAATTAAATAAATGGTAGCGAAAAAACTCCGTTTTCCCCCAAGTGACCATGTTTGCCAACTGCAGACAATGTCTACTTTTTAAAAATAAATGGAAGCGAAAAAACTCCGTTTCCCCCCCCCCTAAGTGACCTTGTTTGCCAACAGCAGATAAGGTTTACATAATAAAAATAACTGGGTGCGAAATAATAAAAACTCCGTTCCCCCCCCTAGTGACCTTGTTTGCCGACAGCAGGCAAGGTCTACTTAATAAAACTAACTGGGAGCGAAAAAACTTCGTTTTCCCCCCCAAGTGACCTTGTTTGCCAACAGCAGACAAGTTCTACTTAATAAAAATAAACGGGAGCTAAAAAACTCTGTGTCTCCCCCCCCCAAGTGACCTTGTTTGCTGACAGCAGACAAGGTCTACTTAATAAAAATAACTGGGAGCGAAAAAACTCCGTTTCCCCCCCTCCAAGTGACCTTTTTGCCGACAGCAGACAAGGTCTACTTATTCGTTAAATGTCGATTGCAAACTGGAAAACTAATCGTGTATGTGATAACCGCTCAAATTGATGAGCGGGAAACTTGTGAGTTTGTCTGACACGTGCCATTAATCTAACATTTTAATTTTTAAATTGCAAAATAACCCCAACCGTTGGATTTCTGACGTTGTAGTCACATCAAACGTCACCTTTTTAAAACCCTCTTTTCACTCCATACTTCATTTATTTCTATTTCTATTTCAAAAAACGAAATTCTGAGCGATTTTTCGAGAGATTCTTAGCATCCGCGTAGCAGCCGCCGTTCTTTGGATCAGTTACCTGTGTTGGAACTACTGAATTTTTGAAGCACAACCAAGCTTTCGTCACGCTTTTACCGTGGACGAGTAGTTTAAGGTATTTACAAACTCTCAATTTCAATTTGCATGTTTTCGACTATTTTTTCGATTTTTAGTTCTTAGGTTGATATATTAAATGTCCGGTAGTAGTATTGAGGAAGAATAACCTACCCTTAGCACTGTTAGGCGTCGCCTTATTAGGCAATCTTTGAGGAAAGATCTTGACCGAAGTAAAGGGGGTACTTCTTCTCTATTTGATAATATTGACGACCCTTTTCAGCCGTTATCTGCGGAAGAACAACGAGAGGCTTTTTATCATCATAAGATGGTGTTGCTTTCCATAGTGGATTTGAAGCCCTTGAGTTGGTATTTGTTCAACACATCCCGTGTGAGGTACTTTTGTTCAAGCCTTCATCATTTTTGTTGAGCGGCACCTATGGATCCTTGGCTATGCATGTCTTGACCTTTGGTTTGACTTCTAACTTCCCAAGACCGTGACCGAGCCACTTTAGGGGAGGAAAAAGGCATCTTTTCATTTTCTTTTATGTTCCTTTTATTTTGTTACATTCTTGTTTTCATTTGCATTCACCCTCTTGTTACCCCTTTGAGCTTATTTCCTTTTCTTTGTTACTAGCCTCATTTCAAGCCTTACGACCTTCACCCTTAGTTTTGTGAAGCAAATTTTGGTCGAATGTTGGTTTTGATGATGAAAGTGACTACATGTTGGTTTAAGTTCAAAGTGTATGACAAGATTGAGACTTGTGCTTAAGTTAGTTAGCAAATGCTTCAAGAAAAGAAAAAAAAAACAAAAAGGGAGCAAGAAAGCGAAAAAAAAGGAAAAAAAAGAAAAAAAAAAAGAAGAAGAGAGCAATAAAACTATTTTTGTGATCGTTTCTCCTTAGCTTGAGAATTGAGGAAAATGCTCCGTTCAAGCTTGGGGGAGTGGTTCTTAGTTTGTGTTTAGTGTGTTTGTTGAATAAGCTTAGGGGAGATTCTATGTTGGCATTTTTGGTTTGATGTTTTGGTGACTTTTTAAGTTTGTTTTTGAGAGACGGCCGCTCTTTTGCTTCACTTACAAAATACCACCAAAATTTTAAATTTTTGTTGCACCCTTTATCCTAATCCGTGACGTTACAACCAATAAAGACCTTTAGACCCTAGAGAGGTTGAGTCTGAAATCGGTGGAGGGAGATAGTTTTCAAGCCTATAAAGAGAGTGTGCATAGCTAAGACGTCGGGATAACCTTCTTGTGCTTTTCATTTCTATATCTTTTTCCGGTTCCTTCGAGGAATCAAGAGAAGCTAGATTGGGGGTTGATTTGAAACTAGTGGAAAGAACGCGGAAGTATGGTTGGAACGAGGGTGAATTGAGTATCCTAGAGTTCTCTATGCTTAGCATATTTTATGTTTCAATCAACCATTCACATCTTGGAATGTGCATACATTTGTCTATTTAGAAAGGTTTGCATTCATTGGTTCTTGCTCCTATCTCTTGTCTAAGTTAGAACTTGTGTTTCTATTTTTCCTTTTCTTTTTATTGCCTTGCCTTGGTTTTTGTCAAGAGTTGTGGGTTAAACTCTTAGGAAACCCTCACGAGACCTCACTCGTCCTCATAGGCGACTTTGGGGTTTTAAGGGCTTGTTGTAGCTAAAAACAAATTCCTACGATAGTGACTTAGTGTATATTCTTTGTCTTTGTTTCTATTTTGTTTCTTTTGCTTTTAATAATTTCTTCTTGTTCTCTTTTGATCTAGATTTTCTCAAGGACGAGCAAAGGTTAAGCTTGGGGGAATTTGATTAGTGACATTTATATCACTCTTAGGGTAGTGTTTATGCTTTGTTTTAGCTTGTCTTAGGGTGTTTTGTAGTTGTTTTGTTCAAATAATGTGTGCACACATGTCTTGATGTGTATCGGATGAAATCGCGTTTATGCTTAAATGCTTTCCTTTATTGCGTGTTTTCACCGTTGCCTTTACCTTTTTAGCTTCCCTTGGTGCTTGTGCTTAGGTATTTGAAGTCATGGATTGCAAAGAATAAGCCAAGGAAGCACGAGAGAAGAATTGAAGAAGCAAGTTTAAGAGGAGGTGTGGTTGAACCTCTCAGAGGTTTGATCGAACTAACGTGTGACCGAACCTTCTGAAGTTCGGCCGCTCCTGTTCTGGAATTTAAATCTGAAAACATTCTGCCAGAATTGTTGAAATTAGAGATTGAGAGCAGGTTCAACCGAACCTTGGTGTAGTTCGACTGAACCTACCCAGATGTCCGACCGAATCTATCCAGAGTTCAGTCGGACCTTTTCCCGATCTCAGCCAATTTTGTACGGGCTATATAAGCCCCTTTTTAGAACGTTTTGAATGATCGATTATTCTACTTTTTTCTAATTAGTTTTAGGAGAGCTTCTCTCTATAGATTTAGCTTAGGATTGGAGTAGTTTAGAGAGAGAAAGTGAGGGTTTCACCATTGTTGAGCTTGGAACTTGAAGAGGAAGAGTGATCATCTTGCTTGTAGACTTTCACCTTCAATCAATGAGAATCTCTTACTCTCTCTCCTCTATTTTCATTGCTTACTTTTGATTATTGTTTTTGTTGTTAGTATTTCTTATTAATCTTGTTGATGCTTGGTTATTTGTTGATTAATCTTGTTATTAGCATGATTAGTGAGTAATCACCCCACATTAAGGGGATGGTTGTGGTGTAGTTGGATCTTGAGCAAGTTCTATGGTTTGGAATTGATTTATTTGTGATTAAAGTCTTTATATGCTTGATATTATTCAATCTTCTTGCAAAATGCATGTTGTTAGTTGATTGGGAGTGAATTTTTGTTAGAAGATGTGATAGCGGACCTAGCAATATTCATTTATATCGATTGTTACTTGATAGCACCTCCCAATATATGGTTCTAATGTGGAAGCATAGAGGCTATGTTAGGAGAAGCTAATTGACCCCGGAAGGTGGCTAGATTGGACCTTACTTCGATATTCATGCATTTTTAGTTCATAATTAATTCAAATTCCATGCCTTTGTTTATGCTTAAGTGAATGCTACTCCTACCCTTAATGTTTAATTTCTTGTTTTAGTGTCATAGACTTTAGTTTACTTTCCCTATCCCGGACTAGCTTAGTTGTTGATAACATTTGGTAGTGCTTAACTGTTCCCTGTGGTTCGACCCCTATGCTTGCCTTATACTCGTATTAGGTTTGTTTAGTTTGTATAAATTGTATTTGATCTAGGGATAGATGTTTGACGACGCGTTTATTCCCTTATCAATCTCCTTTAGTTTTAGGCTTTGAACTCTAATTATTTGTGTTTGTTTTTGACAATGTTGTTTTATCGGAATTTACCCTTTTTGTTGTGATGCCTGTCGATTGGCATTTCCCAAGTTTACTACTTTTACAAACAATTTTTCTTTCTGCTTTTACATGATATATATATATATGTGTGTGTGTGTGTGTGTGTGTGTGTGTGTGTGTGTGTGTGTGTGTGTGTGTGTGTGTGTGTGTGTGTGTGTATGTATATGTATATATATATGCTTTGTATCCACTAAGCACCTTGCAACATATTTTGCATTTCTAACTACAATTTTCGCAACATATTTGGCAGACAATAATATATCGGACTCAACTCTTTTATGTTTGCAGCTACGCTAACTTCGCAGTAAATATGTACTAACGGTTATCAACGGTTTCAATATTTATCAGTGGTTGACATATAACAAGAATTTTCTTTAACGGTTGCAACATTTATCAGTGGTTGACAGATAACAAGAATTTTCTTTTAATAATCAAGAATTTTCTCTCAACAATTATCTTATATTCTCTTGCCCCCCTAGTGCATATATCTGTGTTCTTGGATATATGCACTAAGGATTTTGATTGTGATTTTCCTTTATAGCTGCTGCTTTAATGTATAATGTCGGTCACTTGCTGTGCTACTTTAGTAGCTAGCTAAGTACCCTTCTCGGCGATCAGTAACATGGCTATGCCTCAGATCGGCATATACCACATGCTGATTTTGCCGGTATTATATGTTAAACCGGCAACCTCGTGAGTTAACAAGTATAACTGATCAGGTTGCAAGTGCGTTCTTTTCACGGAAGTGGTTTTTAGCTGTCTGTCCCACTTAACGATGGTATGTTAAGTGGAGGATGCCTAATACTTGTACAAATGATATAGTCTGACAAAATGTTTTTTGCTTTAATTCATAGCCGATATTATTTACATATTTACATATCAGCATTGTTGTTTATTTAACAAACTGCATCGTTTTTCAGACATAGTACCTCTTAAGCACCGCTGTATTCCAGACATTTTTCAATGGCTTTCCTTCCATTGTCTCCAAATAGTATGAACCTTGCATCACCATATCTTTGATCCGATACGGATCTTCCCAGTTTTCCGTTAACTTTCCATCCTCATCTCCCTTTCCAGTTGCCTCTGTTCTACGCAACACCAAATCTCCTATACTAAGAGGGCGATGGCTGACCCTTTTGTTGTACGCCCTTGACATTCTATCCTTATAAGCTGCTGACTTAACTGCCGTTTTTTCTCGCAACTCTGGCAGGAAATCCAGTTGTTGTCTTAGCAGCAAATCGTTATACTCTTCACAATAATGTTGTATCCTGAATGTCGGCAATCCTACTTCTGCCGGAACCACCACTTTTCTCCCAAAGACTAAGTTGAAGGGGGATTCTCCTGTTGCTTCATGAAGGCAAAACCTTGTTGAAGCAGTTGAAGGTCCATTGGAGGATCCTTCAGATTTCAAGATTGCCTTTTTGCTCCTTGCTATAGTTGATATACTATGTCCTACAACAAGCCATAGGTTATGCCCCCAGTTTTTACCTGCAGCGTTTGTAGCTGAAGATGCAAAGTCCTATGACTGGTGCTCCTTAGTAATCGACCAGCTTATGCATTCTATAGGAAGCTTTGCCAGGAGGTTCTACCCAATGGGTTTTTCCAAAAGTTGTGGAGGGTGTACAATATTTCTTGCGGTATATTTCCTTAACAGTCAATCATTATATATTATTTTTTTTAAACATTTGGGTTGTCTTTTATTTTAAATGAATTTTATATTATAGATCTTTTACCTAGATCGATTGAAAAGAACACCTATTCAATGGGGTGTCTTCCCATGGATGGCAGTGTGGACCACACAACAGATATCAAAGGCAAAGAAGGGGGATCGGCATGTGAATGGTGATTTTGGCAAACTTGGTGTAAGTGATTATATTTTAATGCAAAAAAACCAGAAGATACACAAGCCCTATTTCTGATGATAGTCTTTATATTTGTACATGGTCATAATATTGCTGACACAAATCCATACGCTTTGTTTTCCAGACTGTAAAAGCAGTGTATGGCCGTGCCCATGAAATGAATACGGAAGGTGTGATCCCCTTGAAAAGACCAGTTGTGGTCATTGAGGAGGTACTCGTACTTTTATTTATGTTTTGAGCAATGAATCTAAACCTACATCTTACATCTTAACTTAAGGTATTCTTAATGCAGGTGTATCAATCGATGTTCAATGCTGTGCATAGTCAACAGGAGTGTGTAGATGTAGTAGATGAACTGATTAACATTAGGTGTGTGAAAAAGCGTCGGTACGGATACTTTAAGAAAAAGGATTTGGCATCAGGTTCAGGTGCTGGTGATGCACATGTGCAACCCAACTTAAATGTTCATGACTATGCTGTAGATTCTCCATTAATGTCGGGTGATGTGATGGATGATAATGAGTTGGACCATAGGAACTTGCAATCTCCTACATCATATGAGTTAGACTTTGACTTGGACTTGGACAGAGATATAGAAAGTCAAAATGACACCGATAGTTATAAAAGGGAGAGAGAAAGGGAATTATATTTGCTAGTCGAGTTGGAGTTGGGGTTAGAGTTTCAGTTCGCTGTTGACTTGGTAATAGAAGTTGAAAGGGAGATGGAGTTGGGAATGGTCTTTATGTTGGAGTTGGCCTATGAGTTTGAATTGGAGATACAATTGTTAAAGAAGTGCGAGAGTGATAGGATGTATGGAATGGAGTTGGAATTTGAGTTGGGCATGGAGTTTGAGAGGGAGAGGCAAGAGGTGGTGGCTTATGAGCAGCAGAGGGTGGGAGATTTGGACCTGTTGTTATGTAGTGTTCCAAAACCTTTACAAAGCCCTGAAAAAATTAAACTTGAAATTGGATATAGTTCAGAAGAGGATGGCAGAGAGAGAGGGTTTAGCCCACAACGAAGTCGGCGAAAAAGGAAAAATTCAGACTCTCCTTTGCTTCCTGAAGGTTATGTGAACACTTGGCGGCCGAGGAAGTTCCGCTGATTACGGGTTCCATTATATGACTACATAAGATCTCATTCCAATGTCTCGCGCAGATTGCAGTCACAAAGGTATGACATGCAATATTTATTCTATTCATACAGTGCTTCATTTAAGTATGACTTACGTTTCTTCTTAAAAAAATTATACTTACAGCTTTAGGGACAATCCTGTATTGCTAAGTGTTGATGGGATACAAGTGACGCTTCATATGTGTGCTGGAATTGCTGCAGAAAGGGGACAAGTCTTTGATGCGGTTGAAATTTCTTACCTTGGATTTATTAATTATATAGGGCACTAGTTACTTGCTATGTTTTCAATTAATCAGGGTAAATGTCCAATGTCTTTTTATGTAGTATGTGAGTGCTGCTGGCAAGTTGTATGAAAAAGTTTGGGCTGCTCGCTATGCTGATCGCAGCAAGCGTTTCATGTTGGATCCTATGTTTGCGGTTAGTTTTTGGTTTATTGCGTATTATAATTTTTTCCGAGCAACAAGGTGTAATAATGTTCTAATGATATTTGTAGATGCGCGTTTTCCAAAGAAGGGAGATGTTAATTAATACACGTGTGTTTACACCACAGATGGATGGTGTTCGTCCAAAGAGGATAAATGTTGTAAGTATCATAGAGCACTAGAACGTATTGTTTTGTTTTGCTTGATAATGTTTTTGCCTTACAATATGCTATTTATTTGCCATGCTGCAGGTGTTTGTCCCAGTTCTTTTTGAAGGTCACTGGTGGTGCGTGGCTTTTTCAGTGAATCGAGAAGAAATTGTGGTGATTGATTCCATTTAGACCTCTTCCGCGTCGGAGGTCCACTCTGCCAATGTTGATCATTTGGTACATATTCCAATTGTAAATATATAACATCTATTTAATAAATGTTGAATCCCATTTCACTTTGTTAATTTTCTAGTTATTTAGATGATAATTTATACTGATCAAGTTTAGGATTGTGGTCCTTGACATTCATCTTAACTGGGGAATTTATTGTTAGGTCTTTTTCTGCCTTTTAATATTACTCATAACCAAGGCTTTTGCTCTCAGGCTACCTACTGCCCTGTTTCAATAGGAATGCGTTTACTTTATTGGTCTACTCTATTATTGTAGATTATATTTAAGCTAAGGATGTGTCCCATTTAGAGGCTTTTTATGTTTAATATGCTTTCAGAGTACAGTTTATTGTTGTTTAGATTTCCGATTAAAACTTTGAGATGCGTTTAATTTATTGCTATTGCTGTGCTTTTCTATTGTCGCTAGTTTTGCTTTTCTGGTTGCTTATTGCCTCCTTTTGGATTTTAGGAATAATTATAATAAATCTCCCACTCATATTCGTACTTTCGTATGAGAATAGTTGTCACCATATTAAGTTGGTTGGGAATCTTGGGAATCTTTTCCCTTCCCTTAATCAATGCGTTTAGATTATTGCTTAATCTCATTTCACTTTGTTAATTGTGTATTTCTTTCTGAATTCCAGACATATGAAATGGATTTGGTTTTTCAATACTTGGACCCAAAATGGGAAGTCGGTACAGTGACCGCTTGGCGGAGAACTTCCCTACAAATGGCTCAGCAAGGGGACCTGTAAGGATTAATTTAATCTTTTTGGGGAAAGAGGAAAGTTAATGTTGTTTGACGATTTATAATCTATCTATCATTGTATTTTTAGGCACAGCTGTGGTGTCCATATATTAGCTGCGATTAAGCGGAATGCGGAGAGGCTACTTACAGATGTGAAGCTGGTTTGTTTTACCCAACTTTGATACATGCCCTTATTAAAGTCCTGTTTTATATTAAATATGTAATTTTTTTTTATTTATTCTCTTGCAGGACGATGACATTAACCTCCAGAGATTCTGGCTGTTGTGGGAAGATTTGATGTCCGAGTTTAACGAAGTTCGATCTGATGTTGTCACACTTCTTTCAGAGTAGCATAAGAAACCGTCCCAACCTTCACAGTACGCTCTGGACGGCTGTCATCCAGAGCGAGATCAATGTTTTCACCAGCCGGTTGAGGACGCTGCTCGCCTGACCGTTCCCCGGTCAGTGATTGCTATTTTTTCTCTTTTTTCACCTCCACCAGCTGAGGTGCTTTTCTTTTCTTTCCGACGGCTGGTGGGGCTGGATTGGCATCCTTGACATGGTCAAGGTCTATTGGTTCCTGCCCTTGGCCGTCTGAGGCCACAATATCTTTGACAGCTGAGAGGTAGCACTCCTGGGCCGTCTTCTGATCCCCATTCAGGGAACCAACAGTGCCGTCATCCCTCACATACTTGATGAGCATGAGAGAAGGGATGATAATTGCCTTGGATTCGTTGAGCGTCGGCCGACCCAAAATGATGTTGTAGGTGGTAAACTCCTCAACGACCATGACGACAATATGCCGTCCCTCTCTTTTTTCTCCCAACCGAATAGGCAAGTCAATTCTTCCGGCTGGGTACACCATCCCACCCCCAAAACCAACCAAGGGGTGGGTTACGGGATGCATGCTACTGACATTGTATTTCAGCTTCTGCAAGCACCGGAGGCTGATAATGTCCGACGAGCTACCGCTGTCAATAAGGATCCGCCCAACCAGTTGGTTGGCGACCTTACATTCAATGACGAGCGGTTCGTCATGCGGACGACGGACGCTGCCCCGGTCCTTTTCAGTTATGAGGACGTCTGGGAAAGTGGAACTGGCAGACGCCTGCTCATCATCATCCTTGTCCATCTTTCGAAGATGGCTCTTGGGCCCCGGATGGTAGGGCCACCACATGAAAATCCGTCTACTATAGTGTAGACCGGATCCTTGTCGGTATCCGAGCTACTAGTAGGCTGATGGGTAGTCTTGGACGACTGACCCTTGTTCTTCTTCTTTGCCCCGGCTGGGGACTTAGAAATGTAGGACTTTAACATCCCTTTGTCAGCTAGACGGTCCAATGCCTGCTGAAGACTGAAGCAGTCGTTGGTGTCATGGCCAATCTCATCATGGAACTGACAGAATTTATTTTTGTTTCGTGACTGGACGGAACTCTTCATCGGATTCGACTTCTCAATAGACAACCGGTCCTTCACCTCCATGAGGATGGAGTTGTAGTCTTTGTTAAACTCGTACTTGGGGACGTACGGTTTAAACTCTCTCTTTTTCTTCTGGGACAGCTGGTCAGAATCACTAACTGCCCAGACTTCTTTTCTCTTTTTTCTCTCTTCTTTCTTGTTGGTCGGCTGAGCACACTGGCTTTCTTTCTGTTTGTCAGACTTCTTGGAGTCTGACTGACTACCAGGCGTGCAGAGGTCGGTAGCTTGAATGTAGCTTTCCGCCTCCCTCAGGGCCGCCTATAGCGTGAATGCCCCTATTTTGACAAGGTCAAACTTGAAGTTTGACCCGTCTCTTAGACCCTTGAAAAAGTCTTTAAATGCTATCTCGTCAGACAGTCCCTGGATCTGGATTCTGAGCAGATTGAACCGCCTGACATATGAGCGTAGCCCTTCTCTCTCACCCTGCATAACGGTGCTCAAATCAAGGCTCGTTTTCTTAGCAGGGATATTCATTGAGAAGTTGGTGGCAAACAAGAAGGCTAGCTTCTTGAAGCAGTCAATTGAACCGGCTGGCAGATTGCCAAACCATTCTTGGGAAATGCCCTTCAAGGTAGTCGGGAAACATCGACACCAAGTGGCATCGTCCTAACCCTGTAAACACATGAGGTTGGTGTATGCCATTAGGTGATCTTTTGGGTTGGAGGTACCATCATAAGTACCTACCAACACATTCTTAACCTTGGACGGCTGAGCCGCCTCGGTTATATTCTTGGCAAATGCAGAAGGTTGTTTACCAAGTTTGAGCATCCGGAGCTGCCAGTCCAATGGTTGAACACTGTTGAATGCCGCCTGACCCCCAAAAGGAGGCGACTACATGAATTGGAGGCCATATTGCCCATATTGCGCCTGGGGTGCATATGGGTAAAACCCTATCATCAGCTGAGGTTTGGTGTTGACGGTCTTGCCGCCTATCCGACTCTCATATAAGGACTGCGAGTGCCTTACAAAAGTTTCTTTGAAGCTGTCTAGAAAGATTGAAGTGGAGGCTGACTCAGACAACTGTTGATTTATCCTTCGCTCAATGATGTGTCGAGCGTCGGAGGCGGTTTTCTTGCTGGCCCCCGGCTATTCTTGTCGGGGCTGCCTCTAGGACCAGTAGGCAGTAGAATTTTCGTCCAGTCAAGTCTTGAGGCTGCCTTCTCCTTCTCTTTTTCTTTAGGATGGGGAGTTGGTCGCCTGTCCTTGACTGGTTTCTTTTTCCTAGATGGGGGAGTCTTTTTAGCCGGCTGACTCTTGCTAGAGCCTACCTTGTTTTTGTTGATCATGGACTTGATTTCACCCTTGAAAGAGTTCATGAATTTCATGAGCTCATCCCGGGTGACTGCTGCTTGACCTTGCCTTCCAGGGGGGTCGCCTGCTTGGGCTCGCCTAGTAAGAATTTCGCTCCAATTGATCTTTGGAGCGCTTGTACTTGGACATGAAGGAGACATCCTGGGCTACATACGTCTCCACATCATCATCATCTTCGTCATCAGTTTCATCCTTAGTGACGACCTCCGGTGGAGGCCGATTGAACGACTGAGGAATACCTGAACTTCCCGGTTGAGTAACCGATTGAGGTATTTCTTGGTTTTCTGGTTGGATAACCGGTTGTAGGTTTGTTTGATCAGGTTAGGGTATAGACTCTCCAACCATCTTTGAGGTACTCTCCCCACAGACGACGCCAAATGTTTTGGGTGTTTTTTGTCCCTTGGGAGAGTTACGACACAAAGACTAGTCCTGCGCGAGCTGTACTTGCAAAACAAACGGAGACTCCGGGTGGTAGGAGCTCCGCCTCCAACGATCAAGTTAGTAACTTGAAGGGAGAGAAAAAGGTGCGAAAATTTAGGTGGGTATCTGCTCGGATTCCAAGCTCAGATGTCTCTATCAAAGAGTCAGTGTGTAATAAATGGTAAAACGTGCCCTCCAAAAGAGGGGAATCTCCCTATTTATAGGGTCCTCGGAATTTGTTCCCTTGATTAGGTCATCGAGCCCTAATCATTGGTGGGCTGCGCCGTTTTACGGCTTTCTCGTGATTCATGAAGGCCGCCTTTTCTCCCATTTATCTGGAATGCCAGGTGTCAAGCAAGGATTGGTCCACTTCGGGCCATCCCAGGGCTGACACGTGTCATCCTCTGATTGGACCACGTGGCGGGGTAAAATTACCTAAACAGGTGTGACATATAACTTTGTGTATAATTTACGAAAAACGAACATGTGGAACAATACCCTTTTTGATAATGACAAAAGGGGGAAGAATATGTATGATGCTTATGTATGCAGTAGTGAGTCTACTAAAGTTCTTACATCATGATCGTTGAAAGTATTTATATATTGATAAATGATGTGTATTGCTAAGTTCATAACTATGATAAGTTCCTGTGTATGTTCCTAACTTTTTCAAATGTTATTTCCTTGAAAAACTAAGGGGGAATAAATGTACAATGATTATTCTTTACTATGTGATAAGCATCATTAGTTTGTCATCATCAAAAAGGGGGAAGTTGTTGAGAAATTAGGTTTTGATGATTATAAACTAATGATGATTATCTATCTAACGTGTATGCTAAGTTGTGCATAGAAAGAGCAAGTTATGCTCGGAACAGGGTACAAAGAACCTGAGTCATGACATTTATATATGTAAGGAACTTGAGCTATATAGAATAAGCATTGGTGGAATAAGAACAATGATAAGTGTTATGGTTGATAAGCTTGATGATGGCTAAGGAACCATGAAGGTAACTATGTAAATATGTGTTTGTATATGTTAACTTCATAAGGTAAGTATCCTATACATATATAGGTCATGTATGTGTAGGAGTCTTTTTATTTAGTTTAGTTTTCTTTATTGTTTTTATAAATGAAAAAACTAACCTTCTGCTTTACTTTGTTATCCTCAAAAGTTTGCTCAGTTTGTCATCATCAAAAAGGGGCAACTTGTTGACCCTTACGAGGTTTTGATGATGATAGTTATGATTGAGCAAACTTCCATCTAATAAGGATTTTCTAGTGTTGCGATGTTTGGAGGTTTAGTAAACTCTGGGAGTTGAAGAAGGAACTGAAACAAAGGGACTTTAGAAGATCCATGAGGATACAAGTA